TGGGATGTGTTGGGATTGACGGGATGTGGCTTGAATGAAGTTGGAAATGGCTGCAGATTGATTCAAAGAAGATCCTGACTGAACATGTTGAAATATGTAGTTGAAATTTGATGTAATATGCTGAAATTATTTTGCAGGTGGTTTGCAAGTACCCCCACCCCATGAAATAATTTTCATCATGGGTGTCTGGTAATTATTTTATACAGTTGGAACTATATGAAATAATTTCCCCAGTTCAACTGAGAAATTATTTTGAGGTGCCTTAAGTTGTTTGTTTAAAATTATTTCAAGGTGCTTCAACCTCTGTAGGTGGAAAATTATTTTGCACCATCATCAAGGGACGGGTGCAAAAATTATTTTGCTATGGCTCTTGTCGGGTGATTTTAACATAAAATTTATGTTAAAAATTGGAAAGGGTTTTTAAAAAAATTATTTTGGAACCAACCCCCACCTCAAAATAATTTCCTAAGGTAGGACGCATTTATATATTATATATATTATATATTATATATATTATATATTATATATATTATATTATATATATTATATATATATATATTATATATTATAAATATTAAATATGAATGTGGATAAACTCGTGATGCGGATAATGAGCCTTGCGACCGCCGACTTTGAGTCCACGAGAGGACAGCAGCTCCTTCAACTCAACCACCGTGAGAGTGGAGTAGTCAATCTCCTGCAAGCATCAAGCATGGGTCAATGACTACTATATATATATATGTATATGTGTGTTATATTACATATCTTTACATTAAAATATGAAAGCAACCCATAAAAAGCTACACAAATAAAATCCAACTAAAATAGTGGAGAATCACTTTTCTATCCTTTATATAAAATTATATTATATTATTAATATACATACATAATATCAATGGGAATCAAGAGGATATACGAGGCACACGTTCTCTGAGTACACAAAAGAGTCATCAGCCTCAATAAAGGAATGGGAAGAAGGCCTGCTAAGTAGGAACGTGTCACTTCCACCTTGGAGGTCTTGGAGGTAGGCAGTGCCCGACTTCCCGTGGATGGAGAAGCCTTGCAGCGGACTCGCTTGTTGGGCCGTCACCTTTGCTGATTTGTTTTTCAACATGTTCAATTCTGTAGGCCCATTATGCCGGAATACCTGTTTCGTTGTATTATTGGCAAGTCTTGATGGTTGGTCAATGTGAGCAAAAACATGTATAAAGCTCAGAACCGCTTTCATGGAATTTGTCAAAAAGTTCTATTCTCAAGCAAAGCAAATCCTGGTTTTCCTGGACCCTCCCCACTTTCCGCCTCTTCATCCATATCCTCCTGAAACAGGTTGCAGTCACTTTGGAATGGCAACTTTTGAAGTGAGTAGCCGCAGCCAAATGACCTTGCACTACATTGAAATTCGTCCTTAAAAAATAGGAGCTGCGTCAATCACGCTTCATGCAATGAGATTGTTAAAGAACTCAGCACTGGTGGAACCTACCTTAAAACATGTTAAAGACATGTAAGGACATGTTGAGACATGTTAAATAGAATGTTAACAAATTGGTAAGACGGTCGTACTACGATGATACACATGGTACACCATTGCCACCAGAACTGAGCAACATACCTTCTGCCCATCTGAAGCATCCGTGCCTCCGGCTCCTCCGGCTCCTCCAGCTCCTCATCAAGATCCTCCTGGAGCTAGAAAAAGGATCAAAAAGAAACGGGAAAACCTGGAGAAAAACCTGACACAAAAATGCCACTGAAACAAACCTGTTCGTATTTTGAGATGTCTCCCATGTTTGCACTATTTTGCATTGCTGCTACAGTGACTGCAGGAAACCCCGGCAAAATTATGCAGCGTTGCAAGATGTCGTCACAACGCGACCAACGTTGGTGGCAAGATGCCTCGAGATCCTCAACGTCACGTTCTTCCTGAAGGCAGTCAAAGATCAGTAAGGAAGTGGTTTCCAATGCCAATCGTATTTAGTCGTTGACAAGGCCGGAGAATGCAAAGCCTGTGCCTGCACCGGATCGAGCTCCTGCCAAGGCAGACTTGTCAGAGGTATCAGAGAATCCATGGGAATCCAAACCTCCTTGACGATGTCCACAAATGCCCGAAAGGTGAATGGAGCACGGATGAGTTTGTTCAACTTGGTGCAAGTGATTCTTCTTAACTTTCTAGGCGGCAGGATTGGCTCAACTCCGCTCACAAAACTCAAATCGGAGCTGCAGCGCATTCCCAGCAGCTGAGGCTGCCTCATCAACAAGCACCGCATCCTGTCAGCAGCAGCTCCAAACGAGTTGGTTCGTGATGTTGGAACTTTCCAGGAGCCTTTCTACACATCCAATCGTTTTTCATGTTTCCATTCCCAGGTGGAGTTTGTCTTATCCCATGACATCCAGCATGCCCATGTCATGCCCCACAGCCCTGTCCTTGGGGAGACTCCAGCTGGTTTCCATGGTCACCTGGCGAAGTCTCCAAACATCGCCAAAGAGGGCCTACTGGGAAAAGCAATTGCTCTTCAAGCAGATCCAGAACAATCCTCCAATAAATTCCTCCAAGGGAAAAAGAGTTCAAACTCGTTAAATAGTGCCAATGGCGTCAAGTTTGACTATATAGCACTTCTCAGAAGAATTGCAACACATCCAGCATGAAGCGACAGCGCGTCACCTTTCGATTTGTTGCAAACAGCTCTAGTACCCTTTGTGATATATCATTATCAACAATGTAGTTTTGTGACAGCTATCTAATGATAAACATATGTATATATATATATACATATGTACGTAATAAACCGTATGCCGTCTTTCTCCAAGCCAATAGTTATGAACAAGAAAGGCGCAGCATCCCATGTTGCACCATGCACCACATCCCATGGCCAGGTCTGTGGCCTCATTGTAGTAGTAGGATGCACCATCGTCAGACCTGGAAAGGGCTGCATTTCCACCCGAGGACCGTGTCGACCAG